TATTTTTAGAGGACTTTTATAAAGCTTCCCTATATGTATCTCTAATGGTCTAATGGTCTTCGACCTATTTCAATTTCATATTTATTGTCGAATTTGATTGACCGAACCGCCAAAACTTGGTTTTTCTAAATGGGACACCCTGTATATTTAATAAAAATCTGTTGTAGAAATTTACTCCACATCTATCCATATTACACCTCCCTATACCTATCTTTTAATTTTTCTGTTTTTGACGGATTTTGTGATAAATAAAATGATCCAATTTCTTGCGAGGATGGCTATGAAATTGCTGGCAAATTTAAAAAATCAAATTAACCAACCATAAGTCATTATTTGCTGTTAATTTAACAGTGGTACCTACTTACAATTAGTTAAGCACTGATTTGAAAATAATGGACAACAATACTTATTCAAATGCTGATATTATAAGTGAAAATACCAATGATGTAAAAAAGTGAAAAACTTTAATAATACGATAATTATGAAAGTATAATAAACACGTTTTGTAAAAATAAATAAATAATTATTTGTATCTATATTTTTTTCTATATTATATGAATACAATAAATAAATTACATATTAAATAAAGATTTCAAGATTTTATTTAAACATTATTACCATGTAATTATTAAAACTAAAACCTAGTAACAGTGGATTATGTACCTATATCCTACCATCGATATTATTATTTACATGAATATACAGTATAACAACGAAATGTGGAAAATTTTTAGTCGTAATAGACCGAAAAGGGCTTTATAATATTTTAATGAAACCTTGATAATTGAATTCCTCTCATTTTTCTACATCGATTTAAAAAAAAATCATCAAAATCGGAGCCATAGAAGCCGAGATACTGAACGCCGAAGCGCGCGCGCTCTTTTTGAACGCGATTTCAATTTCTATAATTCATCCCCTCCCCCCGGTTTTGCGGCTCAAATGGTCGGTTTGGCGATATTCATTGAATTTTCATATAAAAAGCACACGTGCGATAATATTTATAAAAGCACATACGAAAAGTTCTTAAAAAACCTACCAAATTCAATTTTTGTTGTTGTTACATTATGCATAGTTTTGCAGCTAACGCTTGTTGACTTTGACACTTGATATCTCGGAACTTATGTGACCGATTTGAACGTTCTTTTTTTCAAGTTAAGCGTCTTTCCGAGAACTATTTTTTAGTACTTTGGTATATATTCCAACCCGCAAAACGGCTTCACGAAAGTATTTGTTTATAAAGTTAAAATTTTTCGAATTTTTAAAATCGCTCCAAAAATTATTAAAAAAAAGAAAATTAATATTATAACGATTCTATATGATAGTTAAAGAGTCCAAGTATGTGTAAAAAAATCAGCGCCAATTAAAATGCCTAACTTTAACCCCAGCACTGACGCAAAAAAATAACGACATTTCGCGCTGAAATTTAGTAACAAATTGTCTCATACCAAAACTATCAGACCGATTTCGATCGGGTTTTGGAATTTCGTTTTGTAATCCTTTAAAGTACTTACATGTACATTTATAGTAGAATTGGACAATTTCTTACCTATCAGTTGAACGCTTCAAAATTACCTCGATTTTCATCACTTTCTTACGCTGTTTTGGCTTTCTAGCAACAAAAATATTGAATACGCAGGTCTCAAAACAATTGTGTCTTATAGCAAATTTCATAACAAACAATTTCAGCAGTAATAGTTTTTTCTGTAAACTGCATATTTAAGAAGTTATATTGGAAAATGTTAGGAAAAACACGTGATTTTTGAGTATTTTTGCAGTTTTTAATTTTTTCTGCGAATAGCACAACTTTTTTTCTTGGCGCAACCTTATATTTTCATTGTTTATATTATTTTCGACCGATTTTTACTAATATCTAATCTACGTCAAGCAACAGCCATGCCAATGTGTAATTCTCCTGGACTATAGTTTTATGTCAAAAGTCGCAGAAACACTAGACGTTTTTTTATTACGGTTTCCATGGTAACTAAGCGAGCGTTTTGGTTACTTTGTCGCTCGCCGAGCCTAGAAATCATCTTCTAAAAACGCTTTTTTATAAAAATATGACACTTCAGTTTTCACCTTTATGCTCTAGGCAAGAATTAATGAAATTAGAAATGAAGTTCAAATATTTTGTAAACTTCTAAATGTGTCATAAATATCGTACTCTAACTTTGTAGACAAAGAGACGTTTGAGGAAAATATTTCACTGATAGTAATCAATTTTCAAACGATTAACTAAAAACATACATTTACCACTCGCCGTAAAAAAACTGACAGCATTATTATATAACTTAACGCCAGTAAATGTACACACGTGTACAGAAAAATCGTTAACCAGAAGCAAACATTTAAGAGCTATTTCATGCATCCGCGGACAAAGCATTACTTATTGACAAGGTCCTTGTTAAAGCGTCTGTCCTTTTTATCAACGTCTATGTGAACACAGACAAGTTTGACATAATAATAAAATAATTACAAGTAATGTAAAATTTACTCACTGAAAACTAAACCATAGTTTATATTTAGATAGAAACAAAAGTAATAGAAAAGAACCAGTGAATTAAAAAATGGAAACATAACAATTTAAATACTCCGCAAAGCTACACTAATTTAAAAAATAACTAGGAGATTAAGGAGAAAAGATAAGTACTGTAACTGTATAAACTTTTCTAACTGAGCTTTTTATTATTATATTTGCTAATATTTTATTTTGTTTTTTTTTTCAATTCTTATCAAATTAGTTCAAAATAACCCTTGAATCATCGGGAAAAATGTATCGATGAGCTCCAAATAACTGCCGAAGTTGATGACTTTGTTCTAATAAAGTGAATTCATTTATTGTTTTAATTTTTATGAGTAATAATAAAAAATTTGTTGATTTTAATTAATCCAAGATTTTAAAATTCACTTAATACTATTGTGGATATGACTCAATGTTGGTCGAGGCATTATTCTGATCAATAAACTAACACTCCGATTAAAAAAAGTGATTGATGCTTTATGCAAGTAAATTGGTTTTAAAGGAAACGATATCATTATAGGAATAAGTATGCATGTGAAACAACAACACACTTAAGTAACTAAACATTTTTCGATCTTGAATAAATCATTATTAGATATCGAAAAACTATACGCTTATTTTGCCTAAGTAAACCGAAGAATATGCACTATGCAGTATATACCCAGGCCCGGATCCAGAGGGGGTGGCGATGTGGCGATCGCCACCCCCAAAGCACAACATTTTTTAAAGATCTTCAATTTCTCCAAACGACAACAGGCAGTTAGTCGATATTAATGCAAGTCCCCCTTCCTAACCTACACCTTACGTCATCAAAAAAATAACAACAACAACAACAACAATAATAATAATAATAATAATAATAATAATAATAATAATAATAATAATAATAACAACAATAATAATAATAATAATAATAATAATAATGATAAAGAAGTGCTTTGCGCCACCCCCAAAACCAGTCTCTGGATCCGGGCCTGTATATACCCCGCTGTTACCGTAATTGGTTTGTGGTTGTTTTATGATTTACTTTATGCTGAGAAAGAGAAAATATAATAATAAACGGCTAGCATGCTGTAAAGTATATGTACACACTCGTTTATTTGTGCTATCGATTGGACAATATACTGTAAAATCCACAGGGGTGGGGTAAAAAAGACGAACTTTTATAGACAATAGCTAACAGGTCAAGACAAGAAGGTATATAAAATGAAATAATATTTCGAAAGCTTCATAGGCGCTCTTTACAGAAAATACAAGATTAGATTGGAAATTAAAACTGAAATTTCATGTTTTTTATGCGCTATCAAGCAGGTAGATGTTACAACCAATCAGTCGGCAAGAATACCCTCTCTATGATTCTTAATATGATTGCACAGTTTTTGAAACTAGAACATCCTGAAACATATACGGGCCATTCATTCCGATGAACATCGACAACGTTACTGGTTAATGCAGGAGTTGGAGTTGGAAGAGTTGAAAATGGTCATAAGTTTTGCTCTTCTCATTATTACGCCGATGACACACGATTATATTTATCATTTAAGTCTAGTGAGATTAATGTTGCCCATCAGAATACCAATAGTGAAAATGCAAGTTTAGTAACATTATCTGAAAAGCATTTGTGAATGAACATTTTAACGTTTGTTATTTTATTATATGGTTTTAAAAGTAATCGATAGTTTATCTCAGATATTTTGTATTAATTTTTCATAGACAATATTTTATTGCCGATAGTGATTCATGCTAACCTTGGGTTATTCATTGATCAAAATATTCAGCTTATTCATTCCGTTAATCACATAGTAAATTATCTAAGTCTAAGTGCTGGTTATTTCTTATGTGAATTAGGTTCTTTCCGGCCAAAAGACAACAAGGTCCTTCCACATTAATCAATTTGATATTTTGTGCATTTCTAAGCATTGACTAAATAATAATATTATACATATGGTTAACATATTCGTCACTTGGTTTCATGTTGCTGTCGGCTAAATAAACAGCATGGTGGTTTAATATATGCCAATTCTAATATGGAGATTTCAGAAGACGATTTAAATTTTTAAATTTAATTTTGGTTTCTTGGCCATTCAGGAGGGGGGACAGGTGACCACTTCTGGCTACGCCCTACGCAGCACGTGTTAAAAAGTGTAGACGCTGTAGAGAGAAAGGGCGATAGTTTGGGTACTCGTTCACTCTCTGTCTAATCGTTGAAGAACAGTGGGGAGATCTCGCCCTTCGACTGAACGGCGGCGAGCGTTAGCCAATCACGTGCCTGCGCGAGAGAGGAAGATAGTACCCAAACTATCTCTTTCTCTCTCTGTCACTCGTCTACACTGTCGCCGCCATGTGGTATATGCTCTAGGCCCTCTACAAACACTTGATTTAATAATTTTATTTTTTGTTTTTAAAACATTTTTGTTACTATACACACTGTTATAAAATTCAGTTCAATGAGTATCAACTGTTTTAGGTAGGTAATAAATTATAAGAGATTCCTTATATAAATACCTATATCATATAAATAAATATATATCACTTTACTTAAGTAAGTAATAATTTAAGTACCCAATTTAATCAATTGGAGAAGTACTTATTACAATCCTTAACTAATCCAATCGCTTAAGCATGGAAACCATCATGTTCTATATTTTTCGATTTTTTAGGAAAACTGAAGATAAATTTCTCTAGAATTATAATCGGTGATTCAAAAGCCAAAACCCACACAACCGCGGCTATAAAACTGAACATGGTTAGACCCCAAAATGAGTACATCTGAAATTAAATTTAACAGATTATTCTTTGGTAACTGATACTTTATCAGAATAAAGATCTTACCATTCTGAGTTCGCTAAAATAAACTCCAGTTTTAAACATATAAGCGTATATGAACATTAATGGGTAGTGCAATATGTACACGCTGTAGGTCAGTCTGTTTAGCACTTGATAGAAAGGGAACGATAAAAACCAATTTATTGGACCTAAAATAAAACAGATCATTTAAAACATTGTAATAGATGCACATTGCCTATGAAACACTGAACCATAGTAATCAAGACAGTTTTGTTAGTCTAGATCTAGAAGAACGCTTTCTCGTTAATACCAAAATGTAGATATTTCAAGTTAGGAATAAATTTTAAATCTGTTTTTACCTCCGTATCCGTTTGCACATGCAAACACCACCCATAACAAACAAATGGCCCATACAGGTCTAACGAATCCTATATAGAAGCTGTTTGCCAAAACGTCGTGTTCTGGGTCCCTTAAAGTACTATGCCCTCCATAAATACATGTTAAAATGACAGCTATGCATACCATCCACAGTATACACACTAGGATCTAAAATAGGAAACAGAAAAATTTATTATGCGAAGTATAGTTTTTGTATTCAAGACTGAAGAGAAACAAATGTTTATTATTCAATATTTTTCCAAAGAAAAGAGTGATGTACAGATAATCTTAGAACCGGTGTCCCACTTAAACAGTAAATGGGTTGGATATTGTCCAAAGAAATCTAAGCTTCGACGAAAGTAGAAATCGAAACAAACGGACGTATTCATTTCTCTAATTATGATGTTTTTTTCTCAGATTATCTTAATAATTGGCAATCATAGGGTTTCTAGCAGAGAAGAACTAGTAAATATAACAGTACAAGATACAGAAGACACATCTTATGTGGTTATCAATAACATTACTGAAAGCTAGAGACATAGATACTCAGAGGACATTTGTCATTTCGGGTGTATTCGTGGATTTTTCATTAGATATGCTAATGGAAATCGTACCAATCAAATTGTCGGTGTTAATAAAATAAGAACTGTTCTAAGAGAAATCACTGCATATTTGAAATTCCTGCATCCGAAAGACTACACGATTTTAGCTGATTCTGGGGCAGACAGAAGACATAGATGTTGGAAGTCTACTTCATTGGCTGTCCTTTAGATCGTACAAATTGTTAGCTCTTACTTTTTTATTTTATCTTTCAGGATACCCCAAAGAAAAAACCACACTGAGATCTAATTGATCTTGCTTATCGTATTATTATCCCCCACATAAAAAAATTATTTAGAAAAATGCAATTAGGTTATTATAAAACACATGTAGTAAAATATTTTTCCATAACAATGTATTTATAAACCTATTTAGTAAATTTAATAGTGGAAAAGGATAAATATGCTCTAGTTCCATGGCAATCTTAACTTTGTCAAAAAAAGTGACAAATATATAACGTTTTTCAAGACATTCAAAATGGTCATTCTAAATGCAAGCAGCAAGTGGGACAGATGTTGACATTTATAAAAAAAATACGTCTTACTGACCTTGTTCAGGTTGCGAAGTTTCAAATCACCATGGAATTTTATTCTAGCCAAAATGTATCCTGCTAGTAATCCAATAAACCAAGGTGCTGCTCTAGTATGTGTTTTCATATAGTACAGTGTCATATAATCCCTTGTAGCGTTCCTATAAATCAAATTTGAATATTGCTTTTCTAACTAAACAAAAATAAATATACTTACATGTCCATAATATCCGACAATGCCAAACCTGGCAGTTCATATATGTAAGCAATAGTAAATGGTACTATTATAAACGCTAGTATACCGGCTCCAATAAGGCTCATTCCTATCTTTGGATATTTCCATAGCGGTAGTAAAATCAAAGGAGACAGTATGTATAGTTGCATGTCTATGCTTAGATACCAAGTATGGTCAAGGCACTAAAATGGAAGTTTTGAATATTTTAAGTGTTTTATTACTGCTGATATTACATTTGTAACAATGGGCTAGCATCAGGAGCTTTAGGCGTAATTTAAAAGTTAATAACTCAATGTATGTATTCTACTTACATATATACCATCATTGACATAATTTTGAACGTAAAGCAATGCAGTCCACCAGTACCTTTGGCATCCCTTTTCTAAATAGGATATAGAGTCCCACCTAGGACTTTCACCAACATATCTTAGTAAATGAGCTGTAAATAACACTGCTGCTGCTAGGGCAGGAGTTAGCCTAAAAAATATGTGTGTTAATGGATGTTAAAAAGAAATTTATAACACTGGGTGTTACCTTAGATAACGGTGGAGATAAAACTTAAATATGTTAAACTTTACTCCGTTGTTCATTGCTTTGATGAAACTATAAACAACGAGCAATCCAGACAGGAAGAAAAAAGTATCGACGGATAGAGTCCCATTAGTGATAGTCAAGCTTCTCAAGGTAACTATCCACTGCAAAAGTCATAGTCATCAGAAATAGTGGAAGAAATACAGCAGAATATTTCGAGTTTTTTAAATTTACATTTTATATTACCTCTAAAATATCGATAAAATTCACAACTGGAGCTGCCAGGTACATAGTATAGACATGTCCTATTAACACCCATGTTATACTGAGAAACCTGATTCCATTTAAACATGTTAGTTCGGTAGAGTTTTTGTTGACTCGGAAAAGCTTTTCTCCATTTGAGTACACGGAAAATGCTAGGATGATCGCATAGTGCGGTTCTAAAAATCGTATATCGTTTAAAATCTATGTAAATTAGCTATACAGAGTGTACCTTAACTCGGCTGCCAAACATCTACAGGATGTTATCATTAAAAATAAAACAAGGGTCAATTTCTGATGCCTTATAAAGATATAACAGTTTGAATATGACCTATTAACAATATTCATCTTAAGCTTTGTATAAACTTGAGTATCATGCCAAATAACAAACAGAAAAATGAACCAAAGCCACGAAGGCGTTTGCAGGTTTCAACGAAGCCGCAATCAAGTTTCGGTTTATGAAACTGCAGAAATCTTTTGCTGATGCATTTTCTTCAAACACATGCTGTTGATCCAGGTGCAACTAATCCCCCCACAGATCAAAATTATCAAGTTGGCCAATCATCAGTCAGAAATTATCCATGCATATTCAGATCAGTCCTGATTTACCAAAGTACCAATATAATGGAAATTATTTTAATGGATATAATATTTTCAGGCAATTTAGATCTGTCACTCTGAGAAGCAAGATATTTCAAGTGGTGTGTTCCAAGGTTCAATGCTGAGTCCTATCTTATTTCTAGTTTATGTTTTAGATCTTATAAAGGACCATGCATCGGTATCACTTTTCTATGCCGACGACTTCTTCTCGCATTAAAATTGTAACAAATTTGGTGCTAATACTTCAACAAGTTTAGATTTAAGAAAAAACATTATTAATAGAGCATGTCCAGCCTACTGTATCTTTACAAGGAGATCGTTAACTTCCTGTAGAAGTTTGGCAGTCGAATTAATTACTTCGCATTAGTTTATAAAAAGCACATATTTTTACCTCTCTCCATATAGTTGTAGAACAGATCTAAGGCAGTTGACACTAGCATAAGGAATGCAAAATACGACAGCACGACACTATAAGAATATATTTTTAATCATCAAATCCATATTTACAGAATGTGTACTTACATTGCTGCTATGGCACCGCCAGTGAAAGAGGGACTTAGGTCGTCCTTAGTTTGGCACCTTACGGATACTGACACTGAATCTGTAATTTGATTGGTAATTTCTCTTATATCTTCATCCGAGCAATTACTAGGAAGACATATGGCCCATGTCATTGCAAATTCTAAAGGTCCTGAACTGTCTCCAGATGTACCTTCCAAGGTTACCAGATTTCTAGATAACATCCTAAGACGTTGAGCCTAAATACCCAATAAAATTAACTACCATAAATTAAATTTAATAAAAAATTAAAAAACATTATGATTTGGAGAGGAAATCTACGTTTATAGTACCAGCAATGGTTGCTAGATATTTAGTCGGAAACTATATTTTTACTTACTCGTTTTTCAAGGTCAGCCGTTTCATCATCTACGTCAGTACCCATAAGCGAATCCAAAGGTAATGAGCTTAAACAATATTTTCCCTGAGTAAATCCGTCCTTAGATTCGGTCCCCAGGCACTGACTAAACTGGCCCAATTCACCAAAATTCAAAGAGAGAATTCCAACGGGGATTTTTGAGGAAGCGTCGAACACTGTGGAAACAATTTACGATTCTTATAATACAAACGGCATAAAGCAAATACTACGAAAAAGTTTGTAACCATTTTATACTACACGACAGACTAAGTAACTTTTTGAAATTTATTGTGAGAAAAATGTGTTCAAAAATGTTTTTTTCTGGATTATAGGTCAATTTATATTTACCGTTGTAAAATATTTTATATTGGTTAATGTTTCTAACAAATGAAAGATTTGAGTATATGCTGAAAATAAAGAATTAATTACTTCTCAAAGCCCACATATCTGTAGTCGATTCTAAATTTTCTAGGTAGAGCTGTAGTGCTTCCTGACAGGACTCAGAAATTATAGGATCTTCCGCAACATCTTCATACGTTTGTAATAAGTTTCTGTTGTCTAATCGGGCAGTTGCACTGTGTAGAAAAATCAAAATTGATATCAGAAGGATGCACTTCATTTTAACTTAGAAATTAACAGAACAACCAACACAATTGAGTGCCTTGACCTGTCGGTACCACCCAATATTTATAGGCATTATCAACCATATTATCAATGCATATAAATTAGATTTGACTTGACTTATCTTCCAAAATGAATGTTTCATACCGAGAAACTTTAGCTCAGCGAATCATACTAAGGATATAATATTTATAATTCCTCTAGTAGTTGTTGGAACACGGTTCAATAAGTTGTCCCAAATTATGTCTAGTCAACTTATTCCTTACTTGCCTATTAAGGGTGCCATATTCTTTAAATAGTGTTTTCCACAAAGACAAATAATTTCAAACATTTAAATAACTGAGTAATCTAAAGCTTATCAAATAATAGGAATGTTATGTCATGCCATCTGGCTATTTTCAAAGACGCCGCAGTAAAACGAATAAACAGGTGCAAAAAACCATCAAACCATCAAGGATTTAGGTACTGAAATCTACGAAAATACTAACTTTTTTATATATAACTCTACATGTAAATATTCTTATAACATTTACTTGCTTAGTCCTACATATAAAATTGTTTACTTTTATTTATAAGTACGTGAAAATAATTGTTAAAATGTGGGGTTAGGATAACAGCAAACGCATGTTTTACAAACGCTTTTATTTTAGTTATTATTTTATTTGAGTAAATTTAAATAGTACCAATGAATAAACAGAACACCAAGGATTTTATTTTTGTGCTTACTTTTGTTCTACATGTTTTACTTTTCAAGATTTCAGTACCTAAAAACGCCAGAAATTTGACTATTTCTCAGCCAGGAATATGGCCACCTTAACAAATTATCGTCTTGATATTTATGAGTTCATCAAAACGAAAAACTATCGCACGGGCCGTAAAAATATTAAGACCACTAAAATATTTAGTTAATCAAGGTGGGTAAAGTCCGTAACAGAACGTTAATCACCAAATTTCCTGAAATCTATCCTATCTCTGTTGTAAAATATTGGTGAAATTCCAGTTACTTTAGAATTTGTTGCTTTATAATTATATATTTCCTGCTGCATTTCAAACTGTCTACAAAGAATAAAAAGATTATCTAGATGGATTAAAATAGAAATAAAATTTGTTCCAAGTTATCAATTTGTAATAAATTAGGCTTATCCAACACCTGCACGACTACAGTTCTCTAAAAAGCTATAATTAGTGCCATTAATCAACCACCACTATGTATAAAAGCCATTAACTATTTATTAGTGTGTATCGACGTGAATCTCAATTATAGGGAAAAGAAAATAACCTAAAAGAACCCGAGTTCTTTAATTTTCAGAGAAAAGTGTTAAATTCGTAAATTTTTGAAGAATTTTGCATAAACAAACAAAAAATAATAAATAATTGCACAATGCACAATTTGTTAATGGTCTTCGTACTCAGTGTCTGGGACTTCATACGACCACAAACAGCATTGAGCCCTGTTTAGCACATGCCCATACAATCCATAAAAGGGATAATTGATTATAGGGAATTACTACAGTATTTAAATTTTAATATTTTGGGGCGTAGAACTCGATACAATTTTTTATTTTATTTGAAAACACCAAGTACAAATCTTCTTCAATTTGCTTATGTGTTCGAATTACCACCGTAATCAGAATCATCTTGATATTTTCTGCTATAATGCTCTTTATAAAGATGTATCCTCAATAGATGATGTCATTATTTTATGTATTTATTTACATATTATTTTTAGACGTAGAAATTTTTCTGTTTTTGTTTTTTTTTTTTGTTGACAAATGTATTTCCAATTTGTATTTTACTTGTGTTAATGTAATGTAATTGTATTTGTTTCATTTTAATCTGTATTTTAATTAGTCTAGTGCTTTGTTTGTATTTTCTTAAATTGTTATTTTTATGGTTTCTTTGACTTGCTACCATAATATGTTATGTATTAATGTAGACCAGTAAATATTCTATTCTATTCTATTGTACCTATTTTATAATTGGATTCTGTTTTCTCTTTTATTTCTTTAATCCTTATTATCACTTTATTTATCTAATTTTTTTAAAGAATTTATTTATTGCGTAAGAAATTTTGAGTTGTTTGTTAGATATTCATAAATCAATTAAATTAAATGTCAAATAATTTGCAGAATAATGCAATAAATCATTTTATTAGAAATGATTCACGTGACATATTTTGATAAACGGTGGGTACAAAGAGACAAAATTTTGTTCTCACCTAGATGGTATGAAATAAAAAGAATGGGAGCAAACAATTAAATTTTATACCCATTTTGGCATTTTCTTTGATTCCTCAAATTATAAATTTATATATATGTATACATATTTCCATTTTTAACATTCTGCAAGTTTGAATTTGAAGTAAAGTAAATCAGAGTAAAATTATTATATAATTTAAATGTGTTTTTGTGATAGAAAAGACGAATTTCCTAATCTAGTTGCAATAGCCATATAATATCTAAAATTCCTGATAAAATATTTTTTTTGTTAGAAGCTTCATGTGTTTTAGGGGGAAAAATAGGAATTATTTAACTTCATTTATTTGAACCCTGATTTCATTTCAGCTTGAAAATAAATTCACACAATAAATAGTTACAATCTTTAAGACACTTTTTTCTCTCTCTCTGTCTGTCTGTCTGTATCTCGCTCTCTTTCTCTCTCACTCCCTTTATATATGCCTCAAATTATGTCCAGTCAACTTATTTGTGTTTCCTTATGCTAATTATTGCCTTTAAATGTATTATTTTACGAAGTTTTTTATTTCCATAACGATCCTTTGGAATTTTCAGTGAAAGAGAAAAGCATTGTTAATAGAACTTTTAATAATGATTCACTAGATTAAAATAACAAGTTTTGTGGAAATAGAATGACTTCCACCATAATGGAGAAGATAACAAATCCATCAGGTCTGAAACGAATAAAATGCAGTAAAAAGGCATAGTGAAACTGCAATTCTGATGGTAGGATGCATATTAAGAATGGATAAGAAAAAGCAGCAGATTACAAAACAGAAATGGAGATGATGAAATACTTAATACAGACTTTCTTTCTAAAAAACAGTTGACCAAGACATTTATAAATGTAGATTTTGTACAAAATATTAAACGAAACCTAGAAACTGCCTAGACCTGGATATTCTAAATTCATCAGTTGAGCTAACTGGGTGAAGTCCATATCTCAACAAAATTTTGATAAAATGCCAGTCACTTTGGACTTTGTTACTTTATTATATATTTGCTGCTGCATTCCAAACTGTCTACACAGAATCAAAAGTTATCTAAATAGATTAAAATAGAAATAAAATTTCTAATAAATTAGTTTTATCCACTACCTGCACATGAATGGTTACCTGAATTTTTTATTTCTTCAAGAAAATTTTAAAGTATTGTACTTTTAAGGACATCTTTACGATAATTAAATAAAACAAACGAGTTACTACATAATTTGCAACATCTGTCGATTAAATCAAATTTAACGTGTCATTTTGCTTACTAATTCTCCAATGTGATTGCTCTGATTTTACTAGATATAAACTTTAACTTGTTATCAATAAATGCTCTGGTTGGTTACAGTCCATATCTGATCATTAACCGGCAATTTTTCTGCAGCCTATATTGTCACAGTCAGATGCTACTATCTCGATCGTCTGGGACATTGGTGTTTTATTGTTTTATGGGTATTAGTCAGAGCAACCGCATTTCTCCATTATCTACCTAAAATCTTATCTAAAAATCAGTTATATTAAAAATTATTTGGATGGATTAATATCAAAATCGGCAGAAACCATTGCAAATCATGTATAATTTAAAATAATTTAGTATTGTATTAAAATAGCTTTAATTTAAAAAATTTTAGTATTAAGGTGTAATTTCAAAATTCTTATTTATACAGGGTATCCAGAGAATATTGGAAATAAAGGGATTGATATGAACGAAACCATTTATCTTTTGAATACATCGAATTACATTTAAAAATATAAACATAAATGATTGCAGAATAGCGCGTAACAATGATATTTATGAACAAAACTCTATGCGTAGGTACTAAGATAATGTTTTGTATCGATTGTTGCTATAAATTAATCAATTAAAAAAAAAATCTACTCGATTTAGAACTTCGTGATCTAATCATTTTCCAATAATTTTTCTTAAAGAATAAGTTTTTTAACAAAAATATTAAAAATTATTACATTTTAATAGCTGCCTGGTCTAATTCACGTAATATGTGAAAAATACAAAATAGATTTTCTTTATTGGACAAAAATGTTAAATACTTATGTACTTACCTGTCAATGTGACTTATCTAATGAAAAACAAATAATGGAGTAATGAAGATACTCCAGGTACAACAAATTGAGATTTCAAATAAATTAAAAAAATCTTAAATGGAAATGTTATATAGAAAAATACCTTATTAGAATAATTGATTTATTAAAATATTAAATAGTATTCAAATTATAATGAATCTTTTACTTCTCGTGTACGTTTTCACTTCTAAAGGAAATTGTCCTACTTTTAAAAAGATAAAAATATAAAATTTGCATTAAACCTGGTAGTAAATTTAGGACAGTTCTTATACTGTGTGTCTACGGGTGTATGCATTATAAGTAGATATTTTTGAATTGGTTCGATTTTATAAAATCGTCAAATCATTGTTCATATCTTCAAGATCTTGTTAAAATTAATTACCTACCTACATTTCTAAATTGCTTTGAATTATTATATCATTTTTCTATCAAATGAAATAGAAAGATTAGACAGAATAGATACTTTTTATTGTCCACAGCTGTATATTAAACTTAATTTATTTACCACTTGCCATTCCTTTCCTTTACTGAAGCTTCTAAACTTTACTTTGTTTAAAACTATTTTATATATTTATTTTCAAAAGAAGTACTTCTTGAAAAATATTTTAGAGAAAAATGAATAGTGACTCAAATACATATTAAATTTTATGTATCACAATAAAGAGGTTTGTGTTACCTACTATTATCTAAAATAGTGCTAGTGCTGGATTAAACTATCTTAGTAATTATATTTTATCAAGAAATTTATTGTCATTTTATAAATGTCATCATTAAAGAGAACTAATACGGTATTGCGAAAATATTCCACCTAGACTTTAGAGTCAATATTACAACAATAGAAACACTGTGGATATATTAGTTTGAAAAAGATTAAAAATTAAAAAACGATCTATTCATCTTTGAAGTATATAGGTTAGGCTCTCATAGTAATGAAAATGTTTAGCTGTAGGTATATTACCTTTTTTTTAATCAAGGTAAGCCTTGAGGACTAGGATGACATAATTTTTTACACAATTTTCTCAAGGTGCGAAAATCACTTGTTCCATAGACAATCTTCCAGAGGTTATCTTCAATCTCTCACACTCGACTTAGCAAGATCGGTATCCCCAGACTTGAGAACCGTTATGTAATCATAGAATCCAGATAGAACTGCTTTTTTCAATTTTTTATGATTTAATCAATCAAACTATAGATATAGGCACTTAGATACCTATTAGGCTATTGATTATAGGATTTTAAAAGGAACTATGAAGTTCACGATATTTTATTACGTCGTTCAAATGGTCATTTTAGATGAAAAAACCTCGGAGTGCTTTAAATTAGAGGATGGAAATTGGAGATGGTGAAAATGCACCCCTTTCAGTTTTTTAATTGTAGCTCGAAAACGAAGCAAAATTTTGCTATAGTTCATAGGAAAAATTATTTAGAGAATTGAATTTCCTATCGAAGACTTATTAAAAAAATAATTTTATGTAAAAAATCGTTAATAAACTATTTGAAAGATTTTTTGAAAGCACAATAAAGTAAAAAAAAATGTGAACTTTCAATACGTCATTATATGTTCATCATCACATATTCATAATCGTTTTTTTTTTTCGTAAAGTGAATTTTTTTAATCTACTATCCTCTTGATAATGGGCAAATCCTTTCTCTCAAGATTTACAAATTTCGATCTGAAATGTGACAAACCGATTGCTGGTAATAAAATATGAAATAACAACCAATAATACTACTGAAAAATGGGAAGGATGAATGAAATAAATGTAAATACAAGCAACAACATAACCACATTTATTAAACAAGTTCCAAGAAAAAAGTAGATTTATGACAAAACTTAATTAAATAATATAAAAACATTAGATTTTATAATAATTTAAGAGCACTACCAAAAATAAAATACCATTAGCGTAATTAAATATGTTAATAGAGAATAGATATATAAAATGGATAGGAAAAGTCAAACATATGTTGATGTTACAGCATACTGAAAAATTGAATTAAACCAAATAAAAAAAGTTGTTCCGCTGTGTGTAGATAAAAAGACTGAAAATAACGCTTGTGTAATTTTCAAAACAACTTCATTATAGATAACCTAGACTAGAATTATGATATAACCTCGAAATATATCTATAATTAGTATTAGTAACATGTTCTTAAAAAGCATTTAACGAATTTGAAACGAAACATATTTTGTTGGACTATTCAATTCATTAACAAAATTAAAACGTCACAATGTTGTTAAAATATAATCTTAGTCCGCAACATAAAGTCACAAGACAGTCATGAAGTGCATATACAGGATGGTCTGCTATAAGTGCACCTCATCTTTCCTCCTTTATTTTTTGATATAATAAAATTGGGTTAAGAAAAAATTATTAAAACAAGTTATGAAGACAATTGAACATAAGATTTTTTCAAGCCGAATACCCAGTATATTTTTACAATTTTGAATAGAACATTTTTTTATAATGGGGTCATTCAATAAATTTTCAAAAACGTTCTTATTTTGTATACACAAAGTATTGCTCATGATTAGGCGATCCTGAAAATTTCAAATCAATCCGTCAAGCGGTTTTCAAAATACATGATTTTTAAAATGCGAATATTTGTCTTGGCCGTGGCAATGCAATGACGTCATCGCATGGGACGGTCAGCCTACTTCCAGATAATTTCTGCGTCTACAGAATGTTTTAGCGTTTGTGCATATTAAGTTCAAAAATTGGATGCAAATTTCGTAAAAGAAGATTCTTCTAATTTGTCAGAAGTAGGTTTGATAATGGTTATGGATTTTTTTTAATAAAAAACCACGACTTTATCAGTTCTGAGATGAGAGGAGTGAAAATGCAAATGTACGTTTCAATAACATCTAAAGCTTCTATAAAGTATGTTTGTAGCGAAAGTTTTGATGTTTTTATACATTAAGAATAGTAAATAAGAATAAGGATTTTACGTTTAAGTGGACTAAACCGTTTCTGCCACAGGTTTCCTAATCAAACACAAAATTCTTATCACTATTTTTATTCCCATGGAAACTACATAAAATCTACTTAATTTCTTATATAATAATAAAATATTTATTATGTATTTTTATATATATGGGGAACAATACAATATTTGGAATTTTTTTCTGTTCTGTCTTCCATATTGCTAAAAAAAATCGGTATCTTAACGTACTTTTAATCGAAATTTAACACGCAACTAAAACCCGACTACCCGACTGACTGACAACACACGTAAGCATGTGGCATCGATTTCCCATGCGGTGACGTCACACTCGCCGGTTCAGCGGATACTCACCCCAGTTCATTTTTTTTTGGACGACTTGTAGGCGATATAAAATTCTAATTTTTTGCAGAGAACCTTAAAATTGCAATATCTTTCCGTTGCGCGAATAAAAAAATTTGCTGAATGAGCCCATTACAGTGGTATAACATTTGATGGAATAATAAGGAATATATAGTCAAAAGAATGTGCCATTTATTTTATATCATATATGTTTAAATCTCTAAAAATATCGGTTATATGTGCAGCAACCAAAATGTAATTTATCTCCAATTTTACCAACTCAGAAATGTTAAGAGTTAAGATTTCCCAATGCGAATAATTCCAAATGACAATTTCATATTCCCCCCTTAAAATAGGTTTCGCGACTAACAACTTACCTTTAGACAGAAAATATGCCATGCAACATTTATTCTTACATGTTTTTACATCTGAAAACTCGATACATAAAAACCAGGGAGGAACACTTCTGGTGGAACACCCCGTACAGCAGATTTGCTTTTTCATATTCACAAATTCTTTAATCGGTATATAAGAGACAAATTGTCAGCTGCTATCGTTCCATGTGATTTAATTTAATAAAAATAATAGTTTCAATTCTTACCAACCCGTCTTTTTAAACATTTAAAGCAAACACCTTAAGGCATTTAATAATTATTATTATTATATATTTCATTCTATGAAGCTGCAAACTTATTTACATAGCAAAAAATGTGAACAGGATTCAAAAATCAAAATGAAAAAAATTTAAGAGAAAATTAACGCAATACCACATGGATATATTTAATCTGGTATTAAAAATTTCGCTCACAAAATTTTATGCTATTAATGTTACCTAAATTTCAACCTTGACCCTTGCAATTGAAATTTACATCCGACCACATCAAGCTGCATAGTTAATTGTACGTGAAAAAATGTATCAGTATATTTGATCTATAAAAGGAAAGACAGAAAGGCACATGAATTTAAGTGATATCTTCTAAGTAGCAGTATATCTAAATTCAGTGATTGTAGTATTTTGACACACTCGTTACCTGAAGTGATAGAATGAAATATACATATCCGTATGTAGAAACTAAAACTGATCCTTTGTTTTGTAAATGTTTTGACTATTACCCTCAAATTCGCAGATATGTAGGCAGAGATTTCCTTAAAAAATATTAATATATAGAGTCTGTACAATGTTTGTTTTTGTTGAGAGGGCCAATAAAGTTCTGTTATCCGAACTACTGTAACAATTTACCGCAGCAGAGGCAGTGACGCAGGGCTCTTCTTGGAATTCTATGTCAACAAATATCGTACAGACTGCACTTTTCTCTAAAAATATCAAATAAAAGACATATTTTTTGATGTTCGAATGACATAAACCAATAAATTACATATAGCGATGATTTCCTAGTACCTTGGCACCATCATCCACTCGCAAAACTTTACTGATAAATCACCATAAAATATGTGCATATATTTTTAATCTTACTCCTACAAATAAAGTTAACAAGTATAAACAACAAAATTGTAGCAGTTGCGTCATACTTTAACCCAATTTAAAAAATTAACGCTAAAAACATAACATGTACATTTCACCCTTCACACAAACGAAAACAACATTTTGGCCATTCGGTTTTGAAAGTGTTTGTGAAAGTTCTAGTGTTGCTCCTCAATATTCCTTTACATTCCGGCGGGCTTTGGAATATTTGTATTGTAGGCTCGTATAACTTCTGTTTGCGAAACGGCGCCTCCTTCTTCTTGTGAGAATGCGAATCCATCTATAAACATCTGTGATTAAAAAAATTGGCTGCCCTGGTCCTAAATGCGAATCTAGGGGAGTGTGGTTGAAACAATACATCTGTTTACAAAGGTTCATACTTTCACGTTCAGTGAAACTTCAAATATATTACTTCATTTTGATAATGAAGCGTGGGAACCACACCACAGCGGATAATTTCTGGAGAATATAGAGAGCATTTTTGTGACTATAAATTTCAAACGATATTTCTATAAAAAAAGAATAGGGAATAAAAATTAAAGCAATACCAAAACATAAAAAATAAATTTACACATAAAAGTAAAATATAAATGTAAACGAAAAATATAAATGTAAATTAAGTAGTTGGTAAAGTACAATACACAAAATGGTTAAAAAAATGTATGGTAAATGATAAATATATCAATTGTTGAGGCCATATTAGTAAACATGTTACACAACATAAAATGCAAAAAGGAAACTGTTTACATTAGTTTTTGTTGTTGGCAAGTAAAATGTATTTATCTGTTGGGAGACTACACTGGATACAGGTTATCCCACTAAGGTCGACGAAGTACGATATTAGAGAAGTATAGGCTCTAGCTAGAGCTTCAAGAATAAAAATTTGGTAAATAAATTGACCAAAAGAAGTCGCTGGAAATAGTTTCTAAGTTCGTAGCTCGGCTTTGCTCGATTTTGCTCGCTAATTTGCGAATAACTTAATAACGAAAAAATATATCGAACCCTTTTTGGTGTCAAAATGTAGCTATTCTTATGCTCTTCAAACTAACCTATAAAAAGTTTTATCCTGCTATTTCACTTTTTTAAGAAAACGTGAAACAACCTAAACACTTGCGTTAGAAATTTCAAACTTACACTACATTTATCAATTTTTTGTGCTAAATTCATTTATGTAAAGAAAACTATAGCATTGCATTTAAAATTTTTGAGGAAAATCCATAAAACGGCATTCTTTTGAAATAACGCCATCTATAGGTTTCCATATTGAGGTAAATGACATTACGCATTCACCATGAGATAAAGCATGAAAAGACCTTTCCAACGAGGTATAACACTATAGGCTTTCGATGAGCCAATCCTTAAAAAAATGTATGTTTCTGATCAGACATTAGGGGCTTCCCCCACACCTTCTGTCGAGAAATAGAACAAAATATCAATAACAGAAGTTATGCGCAATAAATCCGGTTATCCTTCTTTGTACTATTTAATATAGTTGAATAGGAAACATTTCTGAGAAAAATTCAATTTTAGGTTTTGGTATGTATACTGCGCCCCCTAGCGACCGAGCTACGAACTTGCAAACTATTTCCAGCGATTTCTCTTGGCCGATTTATTAATCAAAATTGTTTTCCCGAAGTTCTAGGGCCTCTACTTTCCCAAATATCGTACCTCGCCGACTTTAGTGGGACACCCTGTATATGTTGACGTTACATAGTATATCATTGCAATCAATTTGGATATTTAACAACTTAAATAGAGAACAGAATGTTTTGGTAATAACATTCAATATGTGATTACTGAAAGATAACTTATTTACTGTCAGATATCGTCCTTAGATCGCAGTAGATTTTTCGTCTCTCTGGAAAATTGTTGTTAATATGATAATTAAACACTTTGTCATCTTACAATAAACTGTCTCTATTTAAATAACCAACTAACTGTCTGTATTTAAATAACTATTATCATTTATAAAAAAACTAAATAATAATGGCCCCAAAACTGATCTTTGAGGGACTCCTTAATAGGTTTTTACCTCCATAGGCTTAAAACAAAAATATACCTCATACTGAATTGTCTTAATTAATAACTATCTAATTAAGTCGATCAGAGAATCCAAATGATTTTAATTTATTCAACTAATATACCGTGGTTAACTCTGTCAAAAGCTTTGAAAAAGTCAGTCTCTTAATCTTGAGAGAAAAATTCAATTACACCAGTATTAAATTTAAGTATGTATAACTATGAACAAAATTTAATTTTGTAATTAAAACACGATTTTATCCATCAGTTTATTAAGGAAAAACAAATTTTCATTTGTTTTTATTCAAAACTTCTCTATATTTACCTAAAATCATCCCCTAAAAACATTATAGATCCCACATGTCATTACCGAAATATATTTGTGACAATTTCATCGGTCCCCACTGAAAAAATTATTTTTTTCGCTGCTTTCTTTGATGACCATACTATGAACCTATTTCTGCATTTTTGCAGCTGAAAACCTTTGAAACGAGATGTAAGAGGGATGTTTTTATTATTTAACAAGATGTACTGCAAGCAAGGACCATTAAACAAAAATATCTACAGTGAAGGTTAGTAGTTGCTAATTTATTAAATTATTAAACAACCTGTCTTAAAAAAACTGTCTAATACTTCATATACAGTGTAGGAAAGTACGGATGGTCTATCAGAAGTTACGTGAGAGCGATAAAGTAAGCCATAGAAATCCATGTGATAGACAAGGATGGCTATAATAAAGGTATCTAATAGTCAACGCCCATTTCGCCCTTCCACAAATAAGAAGTGAATCTTATTTGTGGAAGGGCGAAATGGGCGTTGACTATTAGACGCCTTCATTATAGCCATCCTTGTCTATCACATGGATTTCTATGGCTTACTTTATCGCTCTCACGTAACTTCTGGTAGACCATCCGTACACTGTATAATAAAATAAAAATTTCCTACACTGTATAATAGAAAAACTGTATGAAAATATGTTTAATAAATTGATGACATATGTTCTAATAAACAATAATTGCAAAAAATCATACATACATCGCAATACGTCAGTGGGTAATATATTTTTCATATAGGATGAAAAACTAATTTTTATAGGATTATTCGCTACCCGTTTTAGTTTCATATGGACTCTGTTCCTCAAAGCTTGTTTTTTTTCTTCTTGTGTGGAAACATCTATCAATTCCGATTTCACATTTCAGCTTGCTAGGGTTAATTTACAAAATATACATCTTAATTATGAAAGCACCCTTAATTTTTTTATGGAGTAATCCTTAAATAACTTGGAAAATTCAAAAGCTGATCCTAGAACTCATCTTGAGCCCAAATCAACTGTAATTTTTAATAAAATAAGACTTGAATACGCACAATAATAATACATTTGAGAAATTTTAATTTAGAATGATTTAAATTTTCTCAAGGAATAAACTATAGTACGATCGTATTCGATGCAAAGTAATAAATCATTGCCTGTCAAGGGAATCAGTGCAACACATTTTATAGGGGGTTTTGAAGATTGAATAATTTCTTTATGTATTATGGATTAACAGTTATATATTTATGAAGGACAAAATGAAAAACAAAGGCATCTCCTTCGCACATTGGGCGGCAGGACAACAATACATTTATTACTCCCTTCATTATCCCTCATATGACTTGTGTCTTGTGTTTTTTGCGGCGGCGCGCGTGCCGGCCTGGCGTGGTCAGTTTCGTTTCGGTTGTATTGGTGCTGCGTGTTTCTCGCTCGCGATATTTGTGAGGTTATAACTGTTATAAGTGCAATTATATTTCTTTCGGGCTATATGTGTGTTTCGCGCTATTATTTGAGAATTTGTGAGTGAAATCATATTTCTTGTGCTCCGTAACAAAAGTGTTTTTAGTGTTTTATTTGTGTGCTGTGTGTGTGTTTCGGGCTGTTGTTTGTGAATCGTGAATGCTATTATATTTTCTGTGCTAGTGAAGTGAAGTTTTTTGTATTATTATTGCTCTGTTGTCGTTATATGGATAAATGGAGGCGGTGCCTGGATGTTCGCGAGCCGGATGTACTGCTGTGGGTACAAAAAAATCTATATTAAGTTACAGAGAAAAAACGATAATATTAAATGTCTATAACCCTTTAGAAAAGGATCATCCCATGAAACTGAAGACTGGTTTGGTGGAAATGTGTTCTAGATATACTGGAGTAAGCGAATTATCTGTTTTCAAAATTTTAAGAGAGAAGAAAATTGAAGGAGACGTTAAGAAACCTAAAAAAGGGGGTGCAAAGAAGAAATTAATATTAAATGAAGATGAGAAAAATGCAGTTTGGCGTACAGTACATAAATCATAGAATTTATATTTTGTTTATAATTTGTTAACATTTCTTGTTTGATAGAAAAATAACTTATTTTGTTGAGATTGGTAGAGAATTGTTGTTAGTGTTTTCATTTGATAGAATCATATCATAGGATTTATATTTTGTTTTCATTCTGTAAATATTTATAGTATATCTGTTATACAAGGTTTTTGCTTTGAAACTTCGTTCTCCTTATAAAAAAAAGAATCGTAATGGGGTGCGATGAAGAGATCAGTTCACGTCTGGAACCCTGTTCCTACAAAAATCCCTTTATTCTCATAAACTATTTGTTTTAAATGTAATTTATTATAAATCCAATTCGTTATTTAAATTCCACATATGTACTACATTTCACCTCTGTACGCGCCACTGTTTATTGTTCCCTGCTCTACGATCAAGCTCGCCAGGTTAGTATTTGACGTATAACCGACCACTTCGTACACTCGATGCACCTGGCCGACTACAGCTAGTACCAGAACACAGTGCGTATGCGGCGGTATTTCAGATTTTACATTCAATTTCATTTTAAATTTGAAACGGTTCATCTTACGCCTCCTAAAAATGATGACACGATTTTCCTTTGATAAAAGACCGACAATTTTTTGCTCTACTTTGCATCGTATACGATCGTACTATAGCGTATAAATACATACTACCTATGTGTCATAAAGCAAATATACAGGTTTCAATTAAGTGAATATGTCAATCTTTATAGAGTGCTTTTCTCTCTGTCAAGCCGCTATATAAAAAGCAATAAAACCAATAAGCGTCCTACTGGTGTTGTAATTCGTATTGGCTATATTATCCCTTCTATTCATACAAGCTATAAAATCTTGGAATCGAAAAATAGAAGCACCAGAAAAATTAAGTAACTACAAATTCATACAGGGAGTCCCAATATTCTGTGCACAAAATGAAACGATTTAACTAAATTGACAATACAGGCTGTTACAAATTCGCTTCTCACTACAGGGATCTCGGAAACGGTAAGACATACGAAGTAGCTTAAATGGGGGCAAAGTGAATACATTGAGGATGAATTTTTAGAGACAAAACGTCTGAATTTGGTTCGAACTGAGGCAGTACAGTAGTATTGGGGGTCATGAAGGCTTGCAAAAAATGGAATAAAATTTCCAAGGGCGTATTTAAAATATGAAGTTGATGATGGTCCTAGAGAGACAAAACGTTACATATAAAAATTGATTATGCCATTCGAGAGAGCAAAAAGTTGCCATGAGAAAGTGTTATTCTCTTTCCAATATCACCTCAAACAAGGCAAAAAAATGGATTTCCAAAATTTAAATTTTTTTTCAAATATTTCGAAAACTAATCATGTTAGCCTTGATTTTTTAGAGGCATAATGTTGGTCCCCTGATTACGCAACTTTCCCCCATTTAAGCTACTTTGTATCTCTTACCGTTTCCGAGATCCCTGTAGTGAGAAGCAAATTTGTAACAGCCGGTATATTGAAAGTTACTTCGTTTAGCTCTTGAAGGGAATCAAATTTGGCAAAAAAAAATGTAATTTTTGCCAAATAATTGCAGTATAGTGTGTCAAATTCCATGTAAATCAAGTGAAAGCATTTTAGAATAATTTAGAAGAAAATACCTACAATTTTTTACCAACTTTGATGTCCTCCATAAACGAAACGAGGCAACTTTCGTGGTAGTTGTTTTACAGGAAATATTAGGTCACCCTGTATTTCAAAATGTATAGGGTGTTGTTTTTAATAGCTAAGTTTCAAGTAGAACTCAACAAAATAACCATATTTTCAGGTAAAAATTCTTCAAAATCTTAAAACAACAGAAAAACCATTTGAATACATCTCTGTACAAAATATAAATATTGAATTTTTTAATTAATAGTTGAAAATCCAACAAAAAAATTGAGGAATTTTGGATAGGCCACATAATGGACCAATATCATGGACGACATTACACGGAAAGTCTGATGTATAAAACTGAAGTGGAAGAATTACTTCAACGCGTGGAAATAATTCATAGATACTCCGAGTAATAGTTTGTGTGAATGAATCCAGTATTGACAATTTGACAATTTTATATGTGTTATTTTATTAAGTTCTCTGTATTAAAAAAAATTCCAAATAACAAAACACTGTTCAATAAGTTATTATACTAATAGAATTAGTCTTTAACACTAACTCTCCATCATAGAAAATCACCCAGTACAGCATATTGCAAAGTATGGATCTAAATTTGAACCGTCTTTTTTATTCTAGCGGGATGCCCAATGTTCAAACAGGAAGAAAACAAAAACGTGTGTTAGTGATCGAGTGATGCGGTTAGCTGGTGTTAGTGAAATATATACTCACGCGACAGCTCCACTTCCATCTCAATCCTGGGGGTGGTTCTTCGAGAGAACACGTTCTTCAACAAACGAGCGGTCTCCGACAGTCTGCAACCATGTGAACTACGGCTTTCTGGCATTTACAGCTTATCGCGTCTAATTTAGTAGAGTTACACGTTAAAAGCGCATGCCTATTAAAAGCGACTAAGGTGCTACCATCAAGCGGTAAGGGTGCGATAAGACATGCAAAAAAATATAATCCTCTAAATACTTACATATTGCGAATTGCTCCAATGCATGCAAAGGTCTTGCAAAACAAATACAAAGGATTACTAACAAAAATTATAAGAACGGACCATTCACTTCATTATACTAAGTACATGTTTTATGAGGCCACAGCTAACACTTTTTGACGACACAATCGTTCTTATTCGAAAATACAGGATGTAACTAAAATGACTGACAAAACTTTAATGGGCTTCGAAAATTCTATAAACAAATCCCGGAAATGCAAAGTATTCAAATTAAAAAATCGCAAATAAAATAAAAGAGATACTAATTTTTATTTAGTTAACTCAGCTAAATATTTCCACAATTCGTAACATTTGCTTCAATTGGGAGCTCCGTTTAAATATGAACTTTATTAAAATGTGTATTTCTAACTCAAATTCACGAAACCTATTAAATATCACGTTATTCATGAAACGACCAAGAGCAACCTACTATTTTGCAGGTATTATAAGAGCAAAACCTGTGTTACTACTAAAGGAAACATTTTTTTTTTAAATCAGTGATATAGGAAACAACTACTCTGCTGATCAATGCCCAGACCAGCATCATAATAGTGCTAGAAGTGTTAGAATCATAAGTCAGCCAAACCTCCTGACTTATACCAATTTCAAACTTATCAGTTCTCGTCAGTCTCAAAATTTGCAAAATAAAAGATCAAAGTTTTTATATGCACGGTGATTCACAACTTATCCAAAAAAAATTGAGAATAGATGCGGCATAAGAAATGGAGTCAATAACAAAAAAAAAAAATTTCCTTAGTTTTTGAGAAAAAATTATTGAAGTTGTAGTACTTTCAACCATTACATAGCTGGACAACTGTAGTCTCTATCGTTATTCGCAATACTAGTGGAAAGCCATGTAGCCTCAGCGACTTCGAATACTGAAATCCGATTTTACAGTTGTCGTTGCGATAGTGTTTACAATAGTTTTTTAGTAGTTTGTGTCAAAAATGGCTTGCGTGTATAGCAACTTGGAGTTGATGGATATCGTTTTAATTTATGGTGCTGCTGAACTTGCTGATATAAAATAGGTGCTATATAATTTTATTTGCTTCTTTCCTTGTCTTTGTCCGTTTTTATCACACTTTGCTGCCACGACGGTCGCATTATACAAGGTGAGGTTTTACACTGGACCAGTTTCCAGTGCCATGCAGAAGTATATCTTTAAATCATTCTCGAACTGCTCTTCTTGATTTTTACTTTATAAAATTGTATTTGTAAGAGTCCCCTCTACATCCAAAATTTTTTTTGGATAAGTTCTGAACCACCCTGCATTTTTTGATTAACAAAAAATTACTTTATTGTATGTATCATGTTCTCATTCATCTTTTCGAGATCTTAGCAATCCAGTTTGGCCAAACATGTTAGTTGCACCCTGTATATAAGATATTCCCTTAAAAATATTTTCTAAACTGTGTGTGGACAAGACAACATGGGGTACCTAAGTAGATTCTATAAAATTCAGTATTCTGAGGGAATCAATTTATTTCTTATTTATTACAGGTGATGTAAATTTAAAAATATAAAAAATAAATCTCTCTAATATCCCTATATACAGAACATCATTTGAAATATTAAATACTAATATCCGGTAGTGATAGTAATTATTGTTACTTTGTGCGTTAGAATGCTGACAGCTCTAAATCTCCAAGAATATTTTACTGGAAGCGGAAAAAGAGTTTCTTGAGAATTCACTTGGAATAAATCATCTTAATTGATTAACAAAGTGAAATTAATTCAGTCCACACGGAATCATCAAGAAAATCTTGAAAATTGCACTGCGCAAAATTTCCAGTTTCCGTAAAAATTTATATTACTTTTCCAAAAATTCAATTGTAATATAAATTTAATGTTTACTTAATTCTAGTATCACCGGCATTTAAATGTGAACACACGACTATATTACATATTAAAAAATGACAAGTTCTCGCAAAGAAGTGGCAAGAAATTATCACATCGTTAACTGAAACTCAAAGGTAATAAACTACGTTCCTAATACTGTTCGGGTTTTCTCAATAATACAAGATGAAGACAAAAATTCAAAATTTTTAATACTAATTCCGCATCGAACGTGGCGATTATTAGCTTTGAGCCGAAAGTTCATTACAATCCCAGCAAAAAAATATTTTACAGACGTGGCTAGACCGTGTATAGGTTAGTACGACCATTACGATCTTCGTGACGACCATTTCGGAGGAACGTTACGCTCGACTGGATGGATTGACAGAGTTAAGATGTGGTAGCCACCGTATACTCGTTATGGTGCTGCCACAGAAAGATAAAAACTATCGCTACAAATCGATGGTTAATCGAACACCAAACAGATACCACTCCCAAACAGAAAGGTTTTCGTTGCTTAAGAGTTTTTGCTTTCAAACTCAAATCAATCTTTTTTTCTATCATTATAAACGACCCAAGTGCTAGCGTGCAAATAAACAAATAACACAAACAATAAGAGCAACCACTTTTCAAGAACCGACATATAGTAGAATAACTGCAGCAGTAAAGGGCAATAATACTATATTCTTTTAAAGGAAAGTTTTTTCAATTAGATAGTAACATGGTTGGCCCTTTACTTAACAAAACACTATCTACGTTTTGCTAATTTTTAAACTCGCATATTGAAAATTATTTACCACAATGCAAGGTGTTGTATTTATAAAAATAATTATACAAGTTCCTATAATGCTTTTTCAAAAACTCAATGTATCTGAGAAACAACTACTCTGCTGGCTACATAGACCGATCGAAATAACTCATTTAGAGGGAAAAAAAAGAAAATTGTTACCTGGACTTTTATAAGTGGAACTGGTATAAGGGCTTATAATAAACGAAAAAAAAAAATAAATGAGTGAGCAGCGGCGGCGGAGGGTTGATTTGGGGGCTTAAAAAGTTGTGAAAAATTGTATCATTGGGATTTTTGGCGAAAGTTGACGTCAAACAAAAAAGTATCCAATACAAAGCTGTAGATCGTGCAAAAATCTACAACTTTTGTAGAGGTCACTTTTTAACATAACCTCAAAATTTCCGCGAAAAATGCGAAAAACAGGTTTTTTCCGATTTTTCGTTTTTTATGTCACATTTGCGAAAAAATAATTTAATTCTGACGAAACTTGATGAAACTATACCTTTCTGTGTCTTAAATAACCACAAATTTTTTTAGATAAAAAAATTAAGAAGTTTCCGAGATATTCACTTTTTCCGGTCTGAAAAACTTTTTCTTCAAAAAAAAAATTCTAAAAAAAATCATTGTACAGAGTTCTGCCGGTGATAATTTTTTTCATTTTGACATACTTTTTGGGGAAATAAAAAAAATTGTAATCACAGTTCAAAAACATTTGATCATGTTTTTAAACTGATTACAAAAAAATAAATAAAAAATGACAACGAATTTTTCAGTAATTGTTGATAATTTGTACAGTATTGCTATAAACATAAGTCGAATAGTGAATAAATAAAATAAATAATAATTTTTTTTTTTCGTAGCATCGATTAGTGTACTTATTTTTTTTAAAATTTAGATGAATTCATAGATATACAATGTGTCCAAAATAAGGATGGGTAGCATTAGAATCTAGGAAACGGTAAGAGATACGGGGTGGCGCAGATTAAAAAAAAGAATATCTCAGAAACTTCTTGCCTATTTTATCTAAAAAAATTTGTGGTTATTTAAGACAGAAAGGTATACTTTCACCAAGTTTCGATAAAATTAAATTATTTTTGCGGAAATGAGAAGTAAAAAACGAAAAATCAGAAAAAAACTGTTTTTCACATTTTTCTCGAAAATTTTGAAGTTAAGTTAAAAAGTGACCTCTACAAAAGTTGTACATTGCATGATCTACAACATTTGTATTGGATACTTTTTTTTTTAACGTCAACTTTTGCCAGAAATCCCAATGATATAATTTTTCACAACTTTTCAACCCCCTAAATCAACCCTCTGCCACCTCTGCTCACACATTTATTTTTTTTAAGTTTATTATAAGCCCCTTTACCATTTCCACTTATAAAAGTCTAGGTAACATTTTTTTTCTTCAAGTGTAATTTGGTTGGACTAATGCTTTTCAAAAATTCAATGCAGGTGAGAAACAACTACTCTGCCGGCTACAGGCCCGGACAGCCATACTAGTTTCAAACTTAATAGTTTTCAGCTATCTGGATGTTTGTCTACAGACATATTTTAAGTGTGTGTGAGATATAACCTCAAGGTATATGTCATGTCTTAAATCCATTACTGCTCAAGTGTTGCTATGTATCTACTATAGTAACCTTATTGAACAGGGCCCGTAGCTAGCAGACTAGTTGTTTCCAATTGTGGGACACAAAAACTATTTTACCTACAGATTAGTAGGTCGCTATCTGTCGGTAGGCGCTGAGAGAGCTGGTAACAGTTAATTCAAAGTTAAAGGCAATTGTTTTAAATGAATATTTTGCAATTTCTTGCCAGTTTTTTAAAAAAATGTTTTCTTGAAAAATATGTTATGGCGAAATATCAATAAATCTGTGAATGTCCAATTTTTTAAGAACTTGCACCATTATTTTAAGAGTAGAATAAATCCTTAGTTTCCGAACACCCTGTGTATAAATTTGACGTCTTGATGATAGTGTTTTGTCGAACCTAGTTAAAAAATAAGCACACAATATATACTGATACTTCAACACAATCATGCTACTTCACGAGATAAACCCACTTAATAAAAAACGTACACCTAGCATAATCCGAAATAAAAGATACTTACGAGTTTTTGGGCTCCCCTCGGAAGATGGTCGAAGAATCGCTCTTTTTTATTTCGCTTTCACGAACTATGTCGGTGAGAGACTTAAATATAGTGCCTTGTACACTAAAAAAAAAAACGTGGGTATCGTAACGATAATTAAAAATTAAAATGCAAATTGACTTACACTTTAACAGTAAGGTCGGGCAACGCGGTTATTATCGGCACGACTATCAGTCCCAACCAGAAGACGGCGGTAGAGAATAGCATTATGTACATGCCGGACATTACGCTTCCAAAAGGTATGGTCGGCCAGAACAGACTGGAAGAAAAATCTGTTTGATATACCGAGAAACACGTTTACGTTATATCGAACGTTACCTGTATATGATTATAAACAAAAACCATAGAATTATCGATCCCCAGATGGCGCAGTGCGTGAGCCAAGTCCAAGAATTCGTGACCAAGCCAGCTTTTAGACACACAGTCACCACCACATACTGCAACCAATATAATAAAATACATTTTGATGTAAAAAATTTAAAATTGCATGCTAAAGGACCCCGTACATAATATATGGAAAATGGTCTTTCGGTAAATCTTCAAGATCAAAAAACCTCACCCAAGGCGGCTTGAAATATACGAAAAAAGGTATTTCGTTGAATCTTGCCAAACACAGGTCGACATTTGATCCACAATGAAACACCCAAAGCGGTATGGTCTTTATAGGGTTTTTGGGGTCGCTGAATACGATGTGTAGGTCAGTTAAGCTTCTTCACATAAATTTCAAGGTAATTTCAAGGTCATCTGAAGGTCAAGTAGAGAAAAAACCGTCAAAAAAATCATAAAAAATTCATACGTATATTTTCGAGGTCCCTAATCACGAAACCGCAGTTCGTTTGACCCCGCAGCGACTCTCAGGGGTCGTTCAAGATCATACCAAGGTCATTTTGAAGGTCAAGTAGAGAACTGATAGTCGAAAAAATCTGGAAAAATTATGTTTCCGAGGCACCAGAGGTGACCGTCGGCCATATTGGATCCGCCATCTTGGATTTGGAAACTATGAAAATCTAACTTCATATTCGCGATCAGCGACCCTGAGAACCCCCGAGTAAAAAAATTCAGACAAAAATATGCTGTAGAATCATGTATGACTCAAAGGGTTAACTGACTAAATATTTCAAGCCGTACAGTGGCCTTGGGTGAGGTTTTTTGATCCTGGTGTCATTCAGACTTTTGTTCAGCAAGCTGAAACCTACCTCTCCACAAAATTTCAGCAAGATTTACCGAAAGACCATTTTCCATATATCTTGTGCGGGGTCCTTTCTTTTGCCATATTTTCAGATGTTTCTATAAAATGATACAATGTGGCAAAAAACTTGATCTTTTAAAATTTTACAGATTTAAGAAATCATAATTTAATTTGCATTAAAAAAAACAACAACTTGCAGGAAAGTATAGTCTCGGTTAACAATATGACGGACTGTGTTATTTTTGCTGTTTTATAAAATGTAGATAATAAAAAATAAAAAAATAAAAATACTTTCTAATCTGTAGATTTGTAGATAAATATTTTTTAATATCATTTCAAGTTTTGAATAAATATTTGTTACGACCTTTTTAAAGCACTGTGTTTAGTTTGTGAATTTCAGTGTCAATGACCTCTGACACTGACCTAGTTTAAGTGAACTATATAATATAAATCCACCTGATGGGATACGAAAACAAGGCACTAGGCAGAGATGCAACCAATCGTCAAAACAAGAATGGCCGAAACAATAAAATTAAAAAAACATAGTTAAATTTAAAAACTTCAAACAGTGGCTGTTACGGATTCTTAATATTCTTTTTAGTTTATAAGTTTTGTTAATTTTAAATTTAGATTTACCTTCCATTGTTTTTTTTTTTGTACATTCGCTCGATCCCCCGTATATGTCGAGAGCTCCATGGTTCGACAAGTCGTCGAAACTATCGAGCCACACGAGTGGCCGTTTTAATTACGCTTTTCAATTAGCTAATAAAAAGTGAGTGCAAAAGGATGAAGAAAAACCAAGGTGAGTCGAATCCGAGCTTGCTCGACATCGCTTCCTATAATTTGATTATTATAAGATTTTTTTAGAGTCCACTAATTCTTTTCGTAATTTTAACATTTTTTGGTCACTTGGGCTGCGGATTTGTTTTTTTAATAATATTGAGGGGGTATTATAATTACAATTTAAGTCTCATAAATGATAATTATTAAATAAATAGTACATTTATTTCAATCTTCAAATTTGTGAGTTTCAAGTGCCAATCAGCGTTTTTTAAATTCCTTCACTCTTTTTATAAGCCAAGTACTATACCGCAACGGTTTTGTCCTGGATTTATCTACGGCCTTCTGGAGATACAAATATAAATGAGTCCTGGGTTGACATTCTCGACTGGTGCTTCATAGGTCGTCTCGAATAAAGTAATTTTATTTTTATTTTTTTCTATATTGTTTGGGGTGTCGGTATGACTCTTCTAATGTGTTGGTTTGGAGGTTTTCTGTTTACTTATTTTATTTTATTTTTACGATTTTTATTTAATTTTTATTTTTTATTTTATTTTTATTTTATTTTTATTCTACATTTATTTTATTTTTATTTTATTTCTATTTTATTTTAATTTAATTTTAATTTAATTTTAATTTTATTTTAATTTAATTTTAATTTAATTTTAATTTAATTTTATATTTATTTTATTTTTATATTTATTTTTATTTTTATTTTTATTTTTATTTTTATTTATTTTAATTTTAATTTTTATTTTATTTTGTTTATATTTTATTTTTATTTCATTCTTTTTCTTTGTTGTTATTTTGTTTTTGTTTTGTTTCTATTCTTTTTACACCTCTTTTTTGATTTTTATTTGCATACTTTCTTTTTTTTGTTTGTTAAAATATTATTAATATTTAAAATTAACAAATCTTATAAACTAAAAAAAATATTAAGAAACTGTAAAAATGGCATTTGACAAACTACCATTCAGATGCGAAATGAAAAATAGGCTGTGGTTGATCATTTTAAGGACTTTAGGTTTGTCCTTGCAAAGAAATAAACAATTGCAAAATCCTGTGTCGGAATTCGGCGGATTAAATAAATTAACATTTAAAGAAGAAAGAGATCTAATTAAGGCTTTGTACACTCACCGTATAAACACAGTTGCCGAAAACCAGATACCCCCCGTCCTTCCCGCTCATCCATAATATGTCGTGCTCGCACGCCAACAGGGGCAACCAAAACAGCACGGCGGAATGGATCATGCCGTTGATCACCCAGAACCAAAACACCTTTATGTTAAACAGGTCGCCGCTCTGGGAAGGCTTGTACAGCTTCGGATACATCATCATCTTATCCGCCCCGCAGGGTTTGTCGAACAGTCCCATAGCCAACGGAGGCAAAGCCGTAAATAAGACGTTGTACAGCCCGATGGACCAGCGTTCGAAGAGAATCTGCCCGGACCAGCCCGAGTAAATGGCGAACCACAGCTCTATGACGTACAGGCAGATGTTTTTGTAGAAGCTGTACAGTATCAGCTTGCACATCCTCGAGTAATTCCACGCCCCGTGAACTAGGAGCAAACGGAGCAGGAATCTGAACTGCGCTATGCTGTAATCGGAAGCGCAGGCGGCTTGTAACCCTTCCGCTCCCGATATTCCCACACCAACGTGTGCCTTTTGGATCATGGCAACGTCGTTGGCGCCGTCGCCGATAGCGAGCGTCACGGCTTTTGTGTATTTGGTGACGGCTTCGACGACCTCGGCTTTCTGCATCGGAGACACCCGACAGCAAATGACGACTTTACAGGAGATGCAGAGTCGTAGGAAGTCGGTGCGCAATTCGAACGTTAGAGCGTATTTCAGCGTCTTTCCGTCTATGACCAAAGCGATTTCGTTCTGTTTCTCCAGGTTGTCGCCTAATTCATCGCAGTGTCTTAGTATCGACTCTCTAACTTTCTGAAACGTAAAAGCATAAATCAAACATATTTGTACGGATTTGAATTAAATTCAACTCACATCTAACCCGTCTTCGTTAAGAACTATAAGAGGGATTCCGTGGGTTAAGAGTTTGCACGAATACCCGATATTAATCGCAGTCTCTTGTTTGTCACCAGTCAGGACCCAAACGTTTATGTCCGCCTGAAGTAAGGAGGCAATTGCGTCGGGGACGCCTTCTTGAAGTTTATCCTCGATGGCCGTGGCGCCGATCAACTTCAGATTTCTTTCTATTAAATTCGCCGCCTCCTCGATTTTCTCTGGAATTAGAAAGTTTTATTAGAAACCACGCAACTATCGAAGCGACAATAAAGTGTTTGGCTACCAAATTACCTTCACGGTGTTGCAAAGAAATGCTCGCTTTGTTATACAACTGCCTCCACTCCTCGTAGTCGCTCTTTTTCAAATCGGCGACGGCACAGCAAAGCGTCCGTAGGCCTTCGGTAGCAAAGTGCTCCAGATGTTGCAACAGCACCTCGCTGTGTTCCCGGCCTCCACTGTCGAGCCTCTCATAAATGACGTTATCCGCTCCCTTACAATACAACTTAATTTTTCCGTTCGGATCTTTAACGATGACAGACATCCTCTTCCTGGCGGAAGTGAATTCCAAAACCGTTAGAATCTCGTAGCGTTCCTTAACGCCCAGAGCGTTTATTTCTACCGTGTCCGGAGTGCGACTTTCAAAGACATAACCGAACTTACTCGCTCCGTACACCAAAGCCCTTTCATCCGGAGAGGCAGCGTGGTATATAATGCTGCCGTCTTCTAATCTCTCCGGTATTACGGTGTGGCACACGGATAGTAGTACTAGAAGTTCTTTTATGAGTTCCGCGTTCTTGTGTCCTTGTTTGAAGTGCTAAAAATTAAAAATTGAAGTAATGATCATCAAGATCAAGACGCCTGCAGGCCACAGAGCAGTTGCTTCCCATTACGGAAGCAACTACTTCATTAAAAAGTTTATTTCGCTTACAATTATACAAAGCAAGTCATGGTTTTATGGTATCTACAAATTAGTAGGTCATTCTTCCAGTAGGTACAAAGTAACGCTCTGTGCCAGTAGGCATTGAATAGCAATTACATTTAATACACTTTATAGGTTACATCTCACCCACAGTCACCAAGATGTTTCAAACTGCAACTTACTTGAACAAGCAAAGCATCTTCGACGTTTTCTGCTGTTGCGTAAACATCGTGGCCGATAGCGCACCTCTTAAATTCCATGACATTTCTTGTAAGAGTGCCGGTTTTATCAGAAAATATATACTTTACTTGGCCTAATTCTTCATTTAAATTCGAGGTTCTCGCCATCGCTGGAGTATCAGTCTCAGCGTGGTACATTTCACTATCCATATTTATAAAAATAGCCTAAAAAACATATTTTTTTTAATGAAATTATTCAGTAGAGAAGTACGGGAAGACTTACTTGTATAAATCTGACGACTTCTAAAGTGACTTGTAAGGATATTGGGATTAAATTGTTGAACAGGATTACAAAAGTTAATAGATTGTATAAGAAATTCTGAGAACTATCTGTGAAGAAAAAAAAATGGCTATTAATTACACAGCCGCACAAAAGAAAGTTGTCTGTACTTTTCATGTGACATATGTTATCCGTAGTATTTTTGCCTTCTGATCACGAATCCAGAATTGAGCTATCACATCACAGGAATTTCCTAACCTCAAAAAACAGGTGAAAAATAGCAAAAATTTGGTTTACCGGGGTTTTCAGGGTAGCTGATCACGGATCCGAGGTCAATTTTGCAAAATTCAAGATGGCGGATCCAAGATGGCCGACCAAATTTTCAAAAAACAACAGATTCGCGCCAAATTTGGTATACGGGGGTTTTCGGTGTCGCTGATTACGCATTCGAGGTCAGAATTGCGAAATTCATTTTATAATATTTTACTTTATAACCTGAGTACCCAATCATGTATTAACCTACTTTTTTCGGCTATATCTTGTTCTTTTTTCTGTAAAAGATCTATTCACTGGTTGAATTTTGAAAATCTGATCTCGGATTCGTGATCAGTGACCTCAAAAACCGCCGTATACCAAATTTGACGCGAATGTGTTATTTTTTGAAAGTTTGGTCGACCGCCATCTTGAATTTTGTGAAATTGACCTCGAATTCGTGATCAGTGACCTGGAAATCCCCCGTATAGCAAATTTGATGCGAATCTGTTATATTTTGAAAATTTGGTCGGCCATCTTGGATCCGCCATCTTGAATTTTGTAAAAAATTGACCTCGGAGCCATGATCAGAGACCTAAAACCCCCATGCCAAATTTGGCGCAAATCTCTTACTTTTTGAAAATTCGTGATATGACATTAATTGACTCGTTTTTTTTTTTGAGGTTAGAAAAAGAACCATCAATTCTGACCGCGGATTAACGTTCGGCGGGGTTTTGACCATATAAATGAACATTTGAATATAGAAAAAAAAAAATTCTAATTTTCCTAACGTGAATTTTTGCTATTTTTGACCTGTTTTTTGAGGTTACGAAATTCCTGTTATAGCTCAATTGTGACACCGGATTCGTGATCAGGAGGCAAAAAAACTACGGATAACATATATGTCGCATGAAAAATAGACTACTTTTTTTGTGTGCTGTGTTATCATAAAATCGACAAAGTAAGATTACACCATCCCTTCTAATAAACGTAAATTTACCTTCTAATCCAATATACCAGTCAGTGGCTGCATGCACATTATTCCATAAGACGTTGAATACTGAACACATTAAACACATTACGAATAGCACACCGAAGAGTAATAATATCTGTATATTAGTAAGTTTATCTACAGTGGAACGTTTCAGAGGTGCCGTAGTGGAATTTCTCATCAGTTTGGTTTCGTGGCCAGTATAAATCACTATGCCAAAAATCCACGAGGTGTTCCTCAAGACTGCCCCTCTCAGCAGCAATTGATCAGGTCCCAGAGACTCAGGACTAAAAAAAGATGTGTATATTGTAAGAGATAAAGTAATTTATGGTAAGTGTCCAAATTATAACAAATACAAACCAAAAACTTACGTCTTATTGGTTTCTTTCAAAACCCCATTGAATTCGTACAAATGTTTATTTGGCGGTTCACACTCTATGGTTCCCGTCAACTGCTTCAAATCGTGTATAGTCGTCAACTTTGATGTACTCTGAAGACCCTGTCTAATTTTTAAATTTGTTTCACCATCAAGATTAGCCGTTTCTATAAAACTCATTCCCTGAGGTTCACTAAAAGTCAGAAGATATTTTTCATTAAAAAAAAGAATCATTCTTAAGTTGCAGAAAATTTTGTTTTTTGGTCTTTCGCAACCGGATCTACTACTACAATTTAAAAATACAATTCCAAATGTCATAATCCTCACATTAAACTCGTATTTAAACATAAAAAAATAAATATAACATATTCATAAAGTGGTTAAGCACACATATATGCAAGTGCTTAATAATGGTCTTATCATTACCTTGATGATAAAAGAACCAGATCAGCTGGAAAAAAGGTGTTATTTGGTACTTTCACTATGTCCCCCACAATAACATCCTTCCACCTTACATTGATCCAGCTGTCACCCCTAAGAACTTCTACTCTTCTATGATTTGTTTCATCATCAGCACGGTGTCGTTTCTACAACAAGAAATTATACCATCGTCCGAATATTTTATAAAATAAAAATAATTTAGCTCGCCCCGAAACGAGTTTTCGTTACCAAAAATCAGCTACTTACTATATCTTCTATGATCTCCTTGATAGCAGACACAGAAAGTATAAAAATAAGAGGCACTAGAGTGGTGTATCGTCCAGTCGGAGAAACATCCGGTATCTGCTGGAGCAGAGCTATCATTAAAAAGAAGACGTTGGCCCATCTTCGAAACTGTTCGAAGAGAAACAAGGGTATAAATCTTAGTATACTGGAAAAGAAATGTCAATACAGTCACTAGCACTGAAATACAAATTAAAATAATATGAACACAACTTGCGGTGCCAGCTCAATAATAACTTTGTTCCTAGTGCATTGAAATAAGTTTTCAACACTCACTTGTTTGGAAACAACGAATTTTTGAACCTTATGTAAACATTACATCGGAATGCGCATGCGTTTGAATGTAGGAAACTGCTTTGAATTGCTCTAGGAACAAAGCTGGTATTACAATGATGAAAGTCATCTGACAAAGGAAAACTTACCTATATTTGGCTGTTGATACTCTATTATTAACAAACTTATGTACAGGGGGCTGGGCCCTATTAATAAATATCACGCGCTGCTCAGCATTTGCCTGAGTATAACCAGACTCCTCTGTTTCTCTATCAATCGCCGACGAGGCTGTGCCATCCTCATCTTTAAAAGAAAATAATTTTCATCACTACTGCCCAGAATACGTACAGGGTGTTAATTAAGCACGTCGACAAATTGTAAAGGACGAAACTGCTTGATTTGAAGGCAAAAATGATATGGGTTCGTAAATAGATAGTTTTCAACAGACAAGGGGTTGAAATTAAAAAAAGAAATGTCTTTTTTAAAAGATTTTTGAAGATTATTGATGATTTATCTAACTAGGGCAAAAATAAAAAATACCGGTGTCGCTCTCTCGAAAAACTTTAAAATCGACGCCAGTGGATATTTTTAAATATATTATATTTTGGAACTTCTCGTTTCGCAAAAAAAGTTAAGATTTTTTTTAATGTACATTTCTAAAGATAAAGTAATCATGGAAAGTCCGAGAAAATAATTGGTGCAATTTTTTCCCGCCCATGACGTAGCTACCTCTAACCAAATGCAAAATTTATACACCATTGTTTTTTTTTCAGGCTTGCCCATGATTAGGTTGTATTCAAATCTGCAAAGAAATTTTATGAATTTTTTTAACAAACGATAGATCTAGAATTCTACATTTTGTGAAATTTTGGTAGACGTAAAGAAAACAAAAAATAAAATAACATAAATTGTCTCTTACGCATAAAATTAAAAAAAATCTTTTTTTTTTCTTAGAACCACCACTAGGTTAGAATCATTGATAAAATTTTCAAAATATGCAGATACCCTGAATTTCTGTGTTTTATTCAAAAGTGACAACCGAGTTTTCCACCATTGGTATGAATTTAGTCAATATTTACCTGTAATTAGATAAATAATTATTAGTCCAAATTTCATAAATATACCTGAAATATCTTAGTATCACAGTATTTTAGATTTTTTTCAAATATCAACATAATTAACTTTACTCATGGACCTGGATTAACACAAGTTTAATAATATGTATTACCAATAGCTTCATTGTAATTAAAGTTATATTAGGCTATTAAAGTTACATTATAATCAATTATTTACGATAATTTTGCAATGACGTCACATTTAGTAATTAAGTGCAGGAAAAGCACCAAAATCCGATTTTACTTCTGCCAAAAAGTGAACGGATATTAAATCATTGCATTTTGTCAGTTACTTTATTACAGATAACTGTGAATTTTAATCATGTTGAAGAAATAAATTACAACTAAACATATTTAACATTATTTTTATTTTTTTTTTCCGTCTCTTTATCAACTATTAAGGACAGTTAGTCAATATTCAAAATAGTTATCACTGATTTCCGATTTCCAGCTGTCGGACTGAAAAAACGCGGCTTGAAATTTGTCGGACAACAATACTGTTTGACTGAATTAATTATTTACAATTAATTTTACTAAAAATTACCTATGTGGTAATTGATTTTCAATACCCTGTTATTTTGGCATGTTTCGACTGGTAGACACGTCAATGTCGGAAGAATTTCTGTCGGACAAATTTAAATCGGAATTTGCAACAAAATTTCCCGTAACTTAAGCTAAAAAAAAATATATGGTCTTGACTTTTCAAGACCCCGGAAAATTGCCATGTTTTTGAACTTTTCCGAGTGGAAAAGCGGAGGAATCAAGGAAAGTCGCAGAGGAAAAGTGTGGTAGACTCATCAAAACGAAGCTCCTCACGAGTTATAAAGTATGTGGTAATCAACTTTTCGGGGGGGGAGGTCTGTACTGTGCTTGCTTAACCATAAGGTAACTCTTAATTTTTGGTAGTTAAATTCTCTAGAAAATAATATTATTTTAGTTAATGTTTCTATCAGAACCATCTTAATGTTAGTGGCCTATAAAAAACATGAACACACAAGACAACTAAGTATAAAAAACATACAATTATTTACTTAATAAAATAACGGAAATAAATAAATAAAAATATGTACATTAAAACAGAACACTTGAAAACAAATGATTTAGTTATATTTCTGTTCACTTTTCATGACAGTTAAAAGTAGACATTATGGAAATATACCGTAAAGTCATACCAGCGGTACTTTATGCAAATACTAAATACTTATATGTATTTTATCATGTAAGAATATCAAAATAGCCTGGGTTTTTACCACATAATCAAATTCAGTTCCACAGTTATTATATATGTAGATATCCCAGTTCTCCAATTTTCCTCTCTTGGACATACTATTCCGCGCAACATTTTAATAATAATCATAATTCTCTGTAGGTGTAAATGACGCATGTTGTTTACATAGAAGCTCATATAAATTCAAAAACATCATGATAACTTTAATTAAAAGATACGAATTAGTAGAAATTTTTCTGACTAATTTGAGTTGAATTTTGTACCGGTAGATATAATTTTACATACATACATAATAAATTATTGTTTTGTGGGTTTTTATTACATCATTGAAGGTGTAAATAAAAATTCTCAACAACAATGCGCTAATGGTGATGCTCATAATTTTAATTTTCCTGTAATTTATTTAAAGAAATAACGATTCACATATATATTCGAGGAACAGTCACATATGAGACAGACATTAAATCCATACTGTTGTAAATATTCATAAAGACTGACTAAATAGAACCCAAAAGGTGGGCGTACGGTAGTATATGTTACAAGGTAAATGTTTACGGCATAGTGCAATAGTTGGAGATAGACATAAATTTAAGAGCACACAAAATTAAGTACATATGACAACAATCAAAACTACAAAAAAGCAACAGGGCAAGGAAAAGTGTCAGGAGGGCGCTATCATGAATCCATATCGTTCAACTTACGTCCGAAAAATCTACGCCTCAGAACGGTAGACAGTTGCCTATAAAGCGACATCTCATCTCCAACAGATTTTTCATAATATACTTTTCGGGATCCACAGCGGAAAACGGCACAAATTTCAGATTCGCATCTCGGGATGTATTTTCACGGGTCAACCTTTGATAAATCGATGGTGAAGACTGCGCGCGCACGGTTGTTGCCAAGAAACTATCAACGCCGCCGTTTGAAAAATTAATCTGGATTTTTAAACATAAATAAAGTACAAACTACCTTATCACTTGCTTTATTACCATTAATTCTTGCGAAGATAGTTAACATCATAAACTTTAGATACTCATACAACACATCAGTGACATTTATATTTAAAAAAATACCGAATTTATCTTACAATTAGAAAAATATGAAATGTAGCGTATACCTACGTATAGATTATTATCTATCACAAATTCATGCCTAGTATATTTCTACATTTCATAACACCGACAAGAATTAGTCCCGTCCAGGGGCTTATGTGGAAAAGGGGCCGGTCTATTATTATCGAAATAACGGAGACAGTCAAATTGGTAACTGATATCAATCTCTCCCAACAGTAATGGATGAACATCCCTTTAACTCACTGCTATAGAATTATTTTGCCCTAAAATCATCAAAGTGAGAGAGACGCAACTGGCATTGAAAAAAATTTGTTACATATTTTTCTACACGTTTTTTGCAAGTTTGGAGATTTGTTTTTAATGGGAGATATGTCTTGAAAAAAAACAATGCCACCGCAAAAATTAACCTTAGCAAGAAATGTCAGAAAAAACATGTTTAATACTTCGCTTACTTATTTTTTAAGTTTTAGAGACATCTCTACTTCCTTTTTTTGTGAAGAAGTGACTATTTCTGATTACTATTTCAACTATCACCGTAATCAAACGGGTATCTAAATCCTTTATATAGTAGTCATTGAAGTGACATAAGCCCGATAAACGCTTTTTGTTTTTTAGGGGTAAAAACTAAGTGAAAAAAATGGAAAAAATTAAGTTTTAAGCATTTTATTGATAAAAATCTTGTTCAAGCACAAAGATTAAATAATGTTCCATGTTCTCGAACCTGTTTTATAATATATTTGATCTATTTGACCCTTTATTTAACCCTTAAAAACTACCCCTATGCCAAAAATAATGATAAAAAATTACTTTTTAAAGATTTGGAATGATTAAATCGTGCAATTATTTAAAATAAAAGTTACCTTATAGCTAATAAAATAATTTTTCCCTTTCAACCCCTAAAACCACCCCTGTATTGACAAAAATTATAAAAAAATTACTTTTCAAAAACTTGGAATGCTTTAACGGTGCGATTATTTAAAATAAAAATTCCCTCACTGCGTATGAAAGAATTTGTATCTCATAACACTTTTTACACTTATAAATCACCCCTATGGTAAAAAAATGATAAAAAATTACGTTTTAAATCTTGGAATGCTATAATTGTGCAATAATTTAAAATAAAAATTCCCTTATATTATTTATGAAAGAATATTTTACTTTTTCCATTTTCAACTCTTATAAACTACCCTTCTACCAATATTAATGTAAAATATTTTTATTATAATCGATTTTTAAATATAATCAACCATAAAAAAATTGCTACGCTGCATATATACTTTTATACACGCTGACGCGCACTTGAATCCTAACATTTTGCTCCAAAAATGAGAAAGCCTATTTTGCTCCGAAAAAATGTTATTGGTTTTTTTACCATAACTCGGTTAATTTTGAAGCTATACGAGTAGTATCCTACAAAAAAGCATTTTGAAGATAATTTCAAAAGCTGTAAGATCGTTTGCATATAAAAACTTTTTAAGTCCTTAATTTTTTAAAGGGAAAGGGTCGAAAGACTCGAGACAGGTCGTTTTTTCACTAAAATGGATACTTCAAGCGGCGATATCTCCTTTATTTTTTAAGCTACAGGAATGAAAAATAAGCAAAATATTTGTTGAAAAAAAAGCTACATTTTTGTTGTCAATAATTTTTTTACGTATCTTTCATAGTTTCGGAGTTATTATATAAATAAGGCAATTTTTTTTTGAATAATGAAAAATACGTTTTCAACTTTTACCGTACATTATTGAATAACGCTAAAACAAAACTAATTGTAAAGGTTCTAAGATTAATTTTAATTCTGATGGAAATGGTACAGCGTTAACTGCTCATTTTTCCTTAAAAAATATGAGCAACCCATCTGTTTTTGACGATAACTCCTTCAATTTTGCT